AAGGGGGTCCTTATAGATTCACAAGGCTCAAGACAAAACCAAAGGGCTGTGATTAAATTAGCATCATTTCACCATACTTACTCAATCAGAGCAAATAATCCAAAATGCTGGACTATATGACAAAGAATGTGGCATTAGGTCTGGAGGAAGATGCATTATCAGCCTGCAATTTGCAAATAATACAACTTTGTTTGCTGAAAGTGAAGATGACGTAAAGCACTTACTGATGAAGATCAAAGACTGCAGCCTTCAGTATGGATTACACCTCAACATTAAGAAAACAAAAATCCTCGCAAGTAGTCCAAAAAGCAACATCATGATAAATGGAGAAAAGATGAAATTGTCAAACATTTCATTTTGCTTGGATCCACAATCAACAAGTAGAGGGTCAGCAAAAAAAGGGACCAGGAAGCATTTGTTTCTGTTGTTCACAGTGTTGCTATGAGTTGAAACCGACTCAACGGCACCTAACAACAACTACAAGGATGTATGCATTCAGTAAACACTTGTTGATGTAGAACATGTATCTCTCTAACAGATGGAAAATCACAAGAAAATAATAGTAAATGAATGCTCAGGCAGGATAACCGAAGTCTGCACAGGGCACAGTGGGAGCACAAAGGAGCTAGAGATCAGGGGGGAAATCTGTTGGTGCATCTTGGCCAACTTGTCTTACTAACTCTGCCCCAGTGGAACGCAAGCATCCTTGCTTTCCGTGGCACAGGCCTCCTACACTGCTCTCCTAAATTTAGTTATGAAAATTTAGCTCTACTATTGAGGGTTGGGAGTTCTGGTGGTATACTGCCTAAGGCATGTGACTGGTAACCAGAGAAGGCTGGTGGTTCAAACCCACCAGCCACTCCTCGGAAAGAAGAGTGAGCAATCTACTTCTGTAGAGATACCACCTTGGAAACCCAAGGAGGGGTGGCTATGAGTCGGGGCCAACTCGACAGCAGTGAGTTTTGTTTTTGTATTGAGGGTTATTAGTTCCTTGGTAGCTATGAAGGTGTCACATATATTTCTGCCTCTTCTCACAGCACAACGGGGACTCTCTGAGAAGAGTCATCTATTACTGCCTTTTCTAAAAAATGAATTTTTTATTGAAGTAGAAATTAATGACCTCCTCACATCTAACAATGTGTATTTCAAAGAGTAGGTTTGTGTGCCTCTTTTCCTCTTGGCTTGGCTAAACAGTTTCATGTAATGTCACCCAACATCAAAGCATGGATATTTTGATGGGCACATCCAAGCTTTCTTCTGTCTGAGAACAAAAACCCAAACCTGTTGTCATTAAGTTAACTCTGACTCACGGCAACCCCACCGGATTTTCTTGGCTGTAATATTTTATGGAAGCATATATCCAGGCCTTTCTTTTGCAGCGTGGCTGGGTGGGCTCAAACTGGCATCTTTAAGTTATCAGCTGATCACAGAATGCTTTTGTCACCCAAGGACATTCTCTAAGAGCCAAGGACCTATTATACAATGTGGAGACAGCACTGTGTCATTTAAATCTGGCTTCTTCCTCCCATGGAGAGGAGGAAAACTTGGAAGAGGATCAGGTTTGGGGAAAATGTCACTACTGGGACAGGGGGCATGCTGTGTGTGAGGGGATGACAGCTAAGTGATACGCAGGAAATAATGGCTGGGCAGGTCTGCAGTTCACAGGAGAGTCCCAGGCTAGAGGAACCTGTTGAGTTGAAATTGTTTGTTTAATTAAAAAAAAAAAAAAAATCACAAGGGAGTAAATATTATAGGAACAAACTCAGCAGATACAGAATATGACCAGGTTCGCCAACACTGAGCTAATATCTGTCTTTTCCTCTTTTTCTTTTGCAAACACACCACCATTTTCTCTGCTTTGAAGGGGAAACATGGAAAACAGATGTTATGCATGTGTATTTCTCTCAGAAATTCCCAGGATGACATAAAAGGAGCTGCTTATGAAATGGTGCCTTGGTGGCTTCCCGCCTGGACCTGTGGCTGCCTGGAGACAGTCCCTGTGAGCCCCACTGGCCAGAGTCCAGAGCCCAGCCTGCAGCTGCCAGCTCACTAGATTCTTGCCAGGGGGCACCTCCAAGGTTAACCCTCTAGGACTTTGGAAGGAGGGGCAAATCTTCCTCTTCACGGTTGACTTTCTCCCTGACAAGAGGAAATGTTTTCCCCCAGAGTCAGGGAGTTAAGTTCATACTCTTTTGCTGGAAAACTAAGCATTTTCATTAAAATATATATTCATTAGCATATTCTATATGATAAAAGCTTAATTTTATAATATTTCGAGTGTCTAGAGAGCTCTGGTAGCATAGTGCCTAAGGCACTTGACTGCTAATCAGAAGGCTGGCAGTTCAAACCCACCAGCCACTCCTCAGAAGGAAGGTTGGGCAAACTATTTCCGTAGTGATACTGCCTCAGAAATCCAAGGAGGGGTCGCTATGAGTCGGGTCCGACTCGACAGCACATAACAACAACAACTCTGATATATAGGTCTTGGGTGGCACAAATAGTTAAGTGCTCAGCTACCAGCCAAAAGGTTAGTGGTTTGAACCCACCCAACGGGACCTCTGAAAGCAGGCCTGGCAATCTGCTTCCAAAAGGTCATGGCCTTGAAAACCCTGTGGAGCTACTCGGCACACCGGTGGTCACCATAGCTGGAACTGACTTGAATGCAACTAACAACAACTTTGATATGTATGTACTACATATAAACATCACAAAGGAGCTCTGTCTGGTGGTGTAGTGCGTAAGGCATTTGGCTGCTAACCAGAAGACTGGCAGTTCAAACCCACCAGCTGCTCCATAAGAGAAAGATGAGGTAATACTTCTCTAAAGATTTACAGCCCTGGAAACCCCATGGGGTCGCTATGAATCAGAATCAACTCAATGGCAGTGGGTTTGTTTTTTTTTTTTATAAATCTCATAAGCTTTGTGAAAAGAAACAAGAATATATGATTTTAAAAACTGAAAGTTCCCTAAAACATTATTTCTGACTTTTGTACAATCTTCTTGTTTTAACAAATACATCAAGATCTAGAAATGTACTGAATAGTCTATTAAACAAAAATTATGTAGTAAAACATCAAGCTCCATCAGGTTTTAAAACATCTCAAACACTACCTTATAAAGAAAATGCCAGAAAAAAATGATTTCTCCTACAGAGATTCTACTTCTGACAATGACAAGGACATCTGAGTCAATTCTCCCACTAAGGAAAATTAGGAATGGTAAACAAAATATTTTCAATAACATGTTTGAAAGTGCAGTAAAACCTACAGAAGTCAGAACTTGTGTAAGGTGGAAACCTGTCAGAGAAGAAATATCAAAATACTTTCCACTAACAGAGAGTGACAGAAAACTGATAAGACATCATAACCCAAAAAACACAACGGACTGCCATTGAGTCGGATCTGACTCACAGTGACCCATCCTTGGGTTTCCAAGGTGGTAACTCTACAGAAGTAGATTGCCCCACCTTCTTTCCGAGGGATGGCTGGTGGGTTTAAACCGCCAGCCTTCTGATTAGCAGTCAAATGCCTAAGCACTAAGCCTCCAGAGCTCCTGAGATAACATACACCCTGTCAAAGGAGGACAACTTGCAAGACCTGGAAAAGGAAGGCAGTCCTGTCAAGTTGGGCTGTTGTTACAGGTTTCACTGTATTAGAAAGCTAACAAGATGGTAAATAATTGTGGGGCCAGACTGTAGGAGAGGATAGCAGCCAAGGCGGGGAGCCAGGATCAGAATGACTTTACTACCCTGGGGCTTCTGGAAGAGGCAGCTGAAAGGGTGAGCAGTTTCTTTCTCAGTGTCACAGGGCTGGGGTGACAGGGACTGAACTTTAAGAGCTGGCAAGAACAAAGGCCCCTAAGACTTCTCTGGCTTTAGGTCAGAATCCCACAGGCCAGAGGTGGTTGCGGTTCAAC